GGAAAACGGAGGAAGAGGATGCGTTACGCAAGGAAAACGACTTATGTATGCATTCATAGGCGTTCCGGTGGCTTCGTTATCGGCTCGCAGCGATCTTCTTGAGCACCGCTGGAACGACGAAAGGTTCGACGTAACGATTCGTGTCCGGTGCTCGATGCAACCAAGATCGCATAACATCGTGCAATTTCTATACTGTTTCGGAATTCGCTTGTTCGTCGGCTTCCTGTTGCCGACCATCGTCTCCCCCCGCGGTGTTCCTCTTTCGCGGATTTCCATACCGCGCCCGATGCTTTTCACGAAACAACGGTGAAAGTGGCAGCGAAAATTATGCGGCAAACTGTCTAATCCTACATCTTAATTAGCATTGTATAACAAATGACTAAACGCGACATACTTAAGATCTATCACATCTAATTTCTCTAGATTTCTGTGAAAACGAATCAGAATAATAACTCGGATCTGTCGTTATAAGACATTTAAATTAAGATTTACTCTAATGGCTCGAGTAGTTGTATTCAAATAATTTCCGCCTTCGACGCACTTTACTATGTCAACGAAACTACGATGAAAACAGAAAGTTTAAGTAGTTTCAACTATAATTACATCTAATTACAGATAATTGAGTATTCGACAAGCGTATTTTTGTTTGCTGCTCGCGTAGCATCGTTAACAGGCTTGCGAGCCGCGACATTTTATCAACCTCCGCTTCGGTGAAAGCCGTCGGTGTAAACTTTTGCCGCCTTTCCTAAACGTCGCGGGATTCTCACCCCAGATTCGCGGGCTCGGCGTGAGAGGAGCGAGCCAGCGAACGGTCTACATACATACATACATACATACATACATACATACATACATACATACATATGTAACATTAAGTCGGTGGAACGATTCCGAGGCAAAACGAATTCAGGGTAGCGCGAGGTTAACGCGTGACACGGAGACGAGCGCGTGCGAGAGAGAAGCCGAGTGCACCGAGGTAGAAAGGCCGAGAAAGAGCGGCGAGCACCATGACCCAGAAAATCGAAACGGGACGCGGTGAAGCCGATTCGCGAAACGCCTCGTTTCTACGATTTCCTCGGTAGGTAGCTGCTACTCGTGCTCGGAGCCGTGCGAGTCCTCCGAAAGAAACCCGTCGTTCCCTATTAGCGCGTCACGATCAGTGATGCGTTCTTCCATCGAGCATCGACGCCCGTCCGACGGAAAAATTTTTCATCTTCCCTGTAGGAACGAATCGGACGTGACTAGGTGAATACTTGGTCGTTTTGCTCGACGGACGTATCGGAGAGAATGTTAAACCTTTTAGCGAACAGATACTCGAATACCGTCACTTCCCTTTGCTCGAATTTCGATTACGATCGGGCCTTGAAACAACTTTAAACTTTCATAGGTAGACGCGTTACGTCACCGATATAGAGAACCTCCACCGCTCGCGTCGTTTGTTGCTCGTTCGCCGCGATTACTCATCCATGGCCAAGTGTTCTGTCCTTTCGTCATCGATCAGGAATGATAGGAAATCGTTGAGCTGTTTCACGCAAATGCGCATTATCGCAAGAATTCGGTTGGCAAAACGGCGAACGTTGGTTGTATGAAAGGAAATTCGTAGAAGTGCCGGTACGCGAATCGCATTTCGAAGATACGGGGTTGTCGAGGCTGAGACACGCTAGAATCTCGAGTGCATCCGCGTGCAGGCATGTTTCCTGTGTGTGAGTAGAAAAAGACGAGGTGGAGCGTGTCGTCGGTGAACGCGAACGTTCCGAGTATGTATTCGGAGGAGAAGCGACGGGCCAAGTCGACCAAGGAACAGAGAACGGGGAAAGGAGTTCGCGGCGAGGAGGAAGAGGATGCCCCGAGATGCCGTTACTCCAAAGAGTCGCTCGGCCTAACCCAACCGAGAGAACCGACGAGTCGACGGGCCCCGAATTCTTCCTCTTCTTCTTCTTCTTCTTCTTTTTGTTATCGTTACTCTTTCCATCCAATGCTACTGACCTAATACGGTTCTTTTTCGCGACCGAATCGCTTTCGCTCTAGTCCCATTTAAAGCCCGGTACCACTTGAGTCGCTGTCGCACGTCGTTGTACACCTTGCTCGTATTTTCGCCGAAAATAAACCACGCATCGCCGTTATAGCGTTGAATAACGAGCAAAATATACAACGTCGTGTGTCACAATTGACTTCTGTCGACGCGGAAACGCGATACGATGCAGGTGAATACCGAGCTTAAAACCGCGACAGGCCACGTTGTTTCCACTGTTACTTTCGTAACGCGTGAGAAGCGCGTCTCGGCGAAGAAATCGTGCGATGCGGTTGCGAAATAATCGACAAATGAGTCCTCCTCGCTAGGAGTAATAAGTCACCTACGCTTTGGTATTCGTGGAAACCGCGAATAGGTCAATCGTATGATGCGCCGTAGGTGATTCGAGGGAAGAAGAATCGTCGCAGATTGGCCGTAAAATGAGAGACGAGCACGACACGGTCTCCAAGTACCCAGCAAGGGGTCTCGCGTGCCAGGTGACGGTGCTTTTCCAAAGCGTCGCATCGGTGACAGTTCTACCCGTAGCTAACCGTCCATCCCATCCCATACAGTACCGTGGCTCGATGTTTTTACAGTTATGGCCATCGCGCTGCGTTATAACAGTACATACTCCTCTTCATAAGTCTTAGGACACTTGCAGCTACACATTGTTTATCAAAGCATCTGACAAATATTGCGAATTAGTAATCATCAGGGATTGCCTCGATTGAAAGATCGTAGTGAATCATTACATAAATCATACGGTCGTAACCGTGTAATAAATCATGAACAGTTTTAATGAAAGAATATAAACAGTTTGCCGTGCGGTCTTCGAGTTCCTTTCTCGTTTCCCACGCGCATCCTCGTTCTGCGTCCCGCGTTTCCTCGAAAAGAAGAAACAAAAAAAAACGAAGAAATTAATTCGTGGAATGCGGGCTACCGCCGGTACGGCGACCTGCATTTCAAACACGAACGATAATCGATTACGAGAGTACTGTGGGCATCGTTCGATCGTCGAACCTCTTTGCTCGTTCTATTTCAATCCTATCTGAGCGAGCTATTTTTTTCCTCGTTTTAGCGAAATATAGGTCGAAACGAGAAGGGCTGCAAAAAGAAGCGGTTTATTCGCGACCGTATACGCTGTTTATACCCGATGTTATTTTTAACACGTGCAAGCGACGCGCACCGAGTTTCGTTTTTGACGCGACGGCGGAATTCACGGCCACGGCGGCGGCGGAAGGATAGGTTCGAAAGGGCCAAGCCCCCGGGTACCTCGAACCCTGGCAGACTTATTCAGAGGTCAATCGACGCATCCGGCTCTAATTAATTGCCTTTCGTTGCTTTTAAAGAACCTGTATCCTGTCAATCAGACGTCGCGTCGGTACGCGATAATAATTCGATTCTAGGGGGAAGGTTGTTGCCGCAGGAAACGGTCCGGGGCAACTCCGTTGAAACCACGTGTTGCTACGGTGTCCGTCGACAGACTCGAAAAGCCAGCGAATTCGTCGAGCTCGTTAAGAGACTTTCTTATCTTTTTCTACGATAATGCAACCGGATCTCGTATTAAAAAAGATAAAAGAACTCTGAAACGTACTATTCGTCGCGAGATCTCATAGTTAAGAGCCTGGTTTAAGAAGCGCTTCGCGATAAGAGAACCGTTTAGCTTGAATCAGCCCGAGTTGGCAAACGTAAACGCTATCTCGGGATTTAAAGGCGGTTCGACTCATCTATTCGACTACGCACGCTTACTCTCGGCGTCTACCGATTGTCCCATTCATCCATCGCGGAGAATAAGATTGCGAAAGAGCTGGAAACAGCGGCCGGTGATTCGATTCGAGTCGAGTCACGTCGAGCCGAGCCGAGCCGAGACCAGGCGAGACAAGACAAGCGATCGAGCGAGTTTACGAGCGTAGATCCGAAGCGAGCCTCTCTGGGTCGGGTGTGCGCCTGCAGCTGTTCGAAAATTCCAGCTGGGACTGGCCAGCATTCTTCTCCGGTATTTTCGATTCTAGTCCTACTCCCACTACATATCTCCGCGCAGGTAAAACGATCTTCTCTATCTCTTTCTCGAGCGTCTACGGAATGGGAATATAGTTTGGAAATTGTACCAGGAACGGGAAAACGGTTGTTTCATCGAGCTGGTCGGTGCGATGGTACCTGTTGCGTGGACGATAAAACCACAGAAACGTAGCGTGCGCGTTATGCACTCCGAAATAGTCGAGCGGAGCGGCGTTAAAGCTCGAACGACTCCGCGCTACAAACCGACCACCGGAAGTAGGCGTAATAACGAACTCCCATTGCCTATACGTGCTGGGAATGGGAATATGTACAATGACATTGTACGCACGGCACAAAGGTTTCTTTCCCTGCGACTGACTGCATCGCGCAGCAGACTATAATAATTTCGCTTCGCTTTTAGTTTTCAAATATCGTGTCCTCGATGCTCGTGTCAGAAGCCAACGAATCACGGATCGAACCGTGTCTTCCCCTGTTTCGGTTGCTCAGCTTTCGTATCATTAATAAGAAATTGATTATCGATTCTTAATTCAAATTAAGACGCTCATAAATGGAATTGATGATTTGACCACGTGGGCGGTACGATGACGCGATTCGGCCTTTTATTTGCTATACGTGTTTAGCTGATAGAAATTCTAAAAAGATTTCATTAGAGACGTGAACTAATTGTAAGAATCTAGCTGACAGTCGCTCGTTGGTGGATCGACAGGAAGTCGTGTACAGCGTACGATGCATCGCCATGAATTCACTCGCAGTTACGGTATCGGCGTCCAATGGACGGTAAGTGGTGACCTTCACCCACCGGTATTCATCGGCATTAACCCGACTTCCGTACGGAATATATGAGTCGATGTCTACACCCATTTCACAAAAACTGTTCCTATTCGAACTTACAGATTTCTTTAAATTATTCTTTATTTTATCGTCGGTAGAGACAATGCGGAATAAGATTTATAATGATGTAAGTACTTACATTTTCGGGCTGCGACGATCGCCTCTGCCGCGGTACACAGAAGAGCGGCACGCCGCTCTCTCGCTTCTTCTCCAATATAGCGGCTTCCGGATCAAACTAGCTACACAAAACGAATCGTATCGGTCACCAACGCACCAAGTATCCAGGGTGCTCGCGTTGCTTCTTCTCGGAACAGATCCTCCTCGCACAGAATCACTGACGACGAACGAGTTTATCCGTACGATCGAGCATCGATCGCGCACTCGCGACGTGCCTCGCTCGGCGATCCACTGCGCGATCTACGCTTCGCGCATTAAAATCGCCTGACTCGAGATTGAAACACGATTCCGTCGATCGAGCTTGACCAGTGCCGAAGTCGTCGTCGACTCGGTTCGCGTCGCGTCGTTTCAATTACACACCTAGATCTTTTTTTCGATCGTTCTCCTTTCTACTGGCGAACAGCGAGAATTTTTACACGGCGTACCACGTTACGTGACGTACGCGTGCTCCTCAGGTATATTGCATGTTAATCGAACGAGGCGTTGCATTTTCACGGAACCGACGCGACGTGTCCGCCTCTTTCAAAAGGTTCGTCAACCCGGAGTCAGCGTGACTACCTTCCCTGAGCTGATATCACCAATTTTTAATGCGCCTTCGATGGAAGGCCGAAGATCGGAGGTGGATGAGATCGGATCTGCGATCACGCGTGACGTTTGCTCGGTAAATCGTGCCCGATGGCGAACAGAGAAATGATCGTACACAAAAAACGTTAAGATCGCGATGCTAACAGGTTGCGCGCCGCACAACGACTGGAGTTCGCTTTTACAGGGACGCGCATCGGTGTCCCCACTCTGAACTCGGGGATCCGATCGGCTCTGACTTGGACGCCTGGTCCCGGACAGCCCGACCTGGGTATTTCTTTCGAACTTGAATCGCGAGGATGCTTACATTGCCGACAATCGAAAACGGAGCTACTCATTAAGTCTGAGAAATCTGAATGAATAAAATAAAATGTTAAAACAAGAGCTTTCGAATGTAAGCGATCGAAACTCCGTTGTTCTATGCTAGAACGTTGCTAGAAGCCTAATTCGTGTAAATGTACGTGTGCCTGAAATTCCCTTACGTGTCCTACACGACACGCAACTACCCACGCTAATTAGTCCATTTTCATTGTCTTTACTCTTAACTATTCATAGCGCTTCCGTTTCCGTTTCTCCTCTCCTCTGTTTCGGACAGTTTTGAAGTAAGAGGCTGGATCACGAATGAAATGAAACGAAGGTGCCGTTTTAAAACAACAGCTTTATGAACCCGTTGAATAGGACGGGGTGGAGTGTCATTGGAACGTTGCGAGAGCACCCTCCTTCGTTATCGTCATCGCTGCCGTCACGCACACCCTTTTTACGAAAGAACGCAAATACCTGCGCGTGCGACCACGCTTAATTTCGCTAAAACACAACGCGAGTAATAAACTGGTCTAGACGCACAGTCTAGATTACAGCAGTTCAGTTTTGAATACGTAGGCGGTCGGTGTGGGAGTGGCGACGAACGTTCGGTCGGCAGATGAATGAAAACGCACGTGTGGGACTACGGCTTCCTTCCTCGAACTATGTACTTACGTACGCGCGTAATAAACGCTCGGAATTCTACCAAATTGAACGGCTCGATACGCATGAAGCGGATGTCAGCTTGACCTGCGAATCCTTCTTTCCCGGACGTAACTACTCATTTTTTTAAAAAACGTTTTATGGCACGATCTGTATTCGCTTTTTAATCGAACGGTAATAATGAAACTATCGAATCTGTAAATTACATTGAGGGCAATGACATTCAGTCGATTCTTTAATCTCATCGAGACTCCGTGCAAGGGCTTCGTAGAACGTTTCTCATGAAAGCGCGTTGCCGTAAAGCCGTAAATTGTGGACAAGGAAGGGTGGAAGCGATAAGACATTTTTATAACGTGTACATCTTTATTTGTACAACGTAGCAAATATTTACATATACATATATATATATATACATATATATATATACATGTTAATAGGGGACCGAGTCAGGTTCGTCTAGATTTTCTATTAGCTTTTCTACATATTGATCATTTTGATCCTCCGCTTCCATTTTCGCCTCATCGGTCTCCACGAGATTGAATATCGGTATCGGTCTCCTTCTCCTAGCAGCCATTTCGATCTTTTTAACCACAGCTATCTCTCCCGGCCTCGAAATAAAATTCGTTACTCTTGAATCGCCTACGGTACCTACTCTGCCAGTTCTGCCACATCTGAATAACATTGGTAACACATTTTAGTTTATTCGAGCTCGATAAGTAACTGGCTTTTGATTTACCATACCTGTGAACGTAATCGGCCGTATCCAATGGAAAATCATAATTTAATATGTGATTAACCATCAACGTGTCCAAGCCTCTGGATCCTCCGTTCGTTGTCGATAGCACCATCGCTTTACCATTCAAAAATTCTCCGTATTTTCCCCGGCGAACCTCTAATGACATGTCGCCGTGCAAATTCACTACCGAGACTCCGCATTCTCGTAAGAAGCACGCGAGCCAATATGAAGTACCGTTACGATTAGTGAACACGATGACTCGTTGCTTCTGCAAAGCTTTTGGTTTTACGAATTTCAGAAGTTCCGATGGTTTCTGGCTCGGGATCAATCTTATGAATTTTTGCGGCACCAATATGCTATGTAGCTTCTCCGTCGTGACGCGTTGCAGGGAATCCGGCTGCCACCAAAACCGTTCGTTATGCTTTTGGACGTCGTAACAATTGTAAGAATGCACATATGAAACTTACGTGTACGATACCGTGTAGAACTTCATCCAGTCGTGAGGGAATTGTCGCGGAAGCTAAAACTAGTTGTGCCGTACCAGGAAACGCATTCTTCGTTGCACCAGTGCTAAATCCAACCTGCATAAAATGCAGTAGTATATCATTGCTTTTTATTATTTACTAATAGGTATCGTTTACTTGCGCGACTTTACGTACAGATATTCTCCTCATGAATACTCTTAATTTCTCTGAGAATGTGGAGTGAAACAAAGAATCCGCTTCATCTAGGACCATGTATCTGACGAAACTCAGATTATACACGCGAAATGTTGTCAATTTACTGAGGACTCCAAAGCTGCACACGAGAACATCTACGTCACCGACGGGAGGATTCATCAGCATCTTCTTTGTTCTTCCACCAGTGATTATTTTTGTTTTAATATTAAGGTCCTTAGACAATTTTATTAATTCTAACTGGAAAGAGATTACGGTTTATTAAATGAACAGATTAATGCTTTCTCATATACATACCGCGATTTGTACAGTCAGTTCTCTGGAAGGAGTTACGATTAAAGCTAACGGACAGTTTATATCCCTATCGACACGTTGCTTCCATTCCAAAAGTTTTTCTATCATTGGCAAAAGGTAGGCTAACGTCTTTCCACATCCTGTCTCTGCAGCTATTAATACATTGTGCCCTTCATAAAGTTTTGGTATCCCTAAGTTTTGAATGTTCAACGGCTTAATTAAATCCATATTTTCTAAATTTTTACACAAAGTGGGATTAAAACCAAAGTCGTTGAATGTTTCAAACTCGATTGTTTCATCGTTTTCGAAACCAGCCTACAAAAAGGATTATGTTATTGTCGCCTGAGCTATAGAAGACACAGGATATTTTTATTTTATACTACTTTTTCATAGAAAACATACACTTTTATAAGGATATATGAAGAAGTGATCATCTTTTGTTTTTCTATTGTCCCATCCATGGGACGCTAACACCGGTTTGTACTTATTGAACGTGTCATCCTGGTAGAAATCGTACATGCTCTTTTTACACTTTATGATCGGCACTCGATCCTTCTTAGGCTTTGCATCGTTTACAAATACTTCGGTTTTGTCAAATTTTGGTTTAGTTCGTACCCTTGCCTAAATCAGAAGTATCGTTTAAGTTGAAGCGTGATGAGCAGAGACGAAAGGTTAATCTGTACGTACATAGTGTCTGGAGATATTAACAAGAGTATCCACGTTTTTACAGCTCACGTAACGAAACGGAGACAACATTTTGTATAATAAGGAAACGAAAATGATCTGTACATCACACGAACCACGTAACAGTTTAAATATATTTCAGAGACTTAACGATGCACAACAATCAGTTCTACAAACTATACATTGGGCAGTACTGGAATATAATGAAAAGAAAATGTATTAACTGGTTTTTCTCCAGAAGACTGACGAATTGTTAAATAAATGAGTTTGTATTGAATTTGTACTTACTCATTTTCATAACAATTTCTTATTGCCCGGTTCCACGGTTCCACTCTAAGCAAGTCTCTGGATAAAATAGAATAACTTGAGAAATTGTTTATAACTTTAAAAGCACAGCATATGTCGTAATGAAGTCGAAAGATATTTCTTCTTTAAACTCTAACATTCATTTAAATTGTAAAAATAATACAAAATACACACCTCAAATGATTTTGGAGTTGCACATGGCATCTAGCGTTTACAATCGCGAACCAACTTGGCTCCAATATCTTCGCCGAAACTGGCGCAATTTCTGGCTGTCCGTGACACGATACACACGAGTACAATTATTAACTGAATTATTTGTCTTATTATTCGTAAACTGTCAATAGATGAATAGATGAGATCATGCCGAAAGTAAACACATTGTATAATTACTTCAGTTCGCCCAACGCTTCAAGAAAACCGGATAAGCAGCAAACAATATCTGAGGTTTCTACGCCGAAGAAGTCTAAAATCCAAAAGAACAAAGGTATATTTCAGAAATAATTCGTAAATTAGAAATTGGTTTCGTTTTTCTAACGTGACATGCGATGAAAGCTGATTTTTTGAGCCGCATACTACGTTGGCCGAAAACTAAAATAGAGAAAGGAATTTTGTAATCGAATAAATTATCGTTAACTGTTTGTGCATAATACTGATTTTGTATTTTGCTTATTTATCAGTTACAATAAGTTTATTATATTATCTAGAGCCGTCTATGTACTGTTATGTGAGCAACGTAATTTCCTTTGTTAGGTATAACCAAAACTCCGAGTAAGGGAAAAGAGAATAAAAATGTCCAAGATCGAAAAAGAATTTATGTAGAAGATGATGACGATGAGGAAGAAACAGATGAAAAGAAAGATAGCAAGCCAAGTCAGTCGAAGAAACCCAGATTAGTAATACCAGACGTTGAGTCTTGTGATGACTCTGAGGATGATTACAAACCCGGTTCGTATTAAACCTTATTATATTATAATTTAGCAATCTTTAGCTTCAGCAAAAATATTGATCAAACTTTTTGCATTTTACTCAGATCCACAGGATGAATCTGAGCCTGAGTCTGAGCCTGAATCAGAGCCTGCGACTGAGTCGGCATCAGAATCGGAAGAATCGAGCGAGGAGGAAAAACCCGTGGTTGTGACAAAAGTAAGCAATTAATTATTGTGCGTAAAAACTTTTGCGTATTGATTATTTGACGTAATTTGATATTTTTAGAAGAGAAAGAAGAGAAACGCAGTGGAACTGCCATCACGACAGATAAAAGGACATGTCGAGACTGTAAGCTTAAAAATTACTTTACTTCATTAAATATACATAAACGCTGTTCAATCATGTTAATAATTAAATAGGAGAAAGCATCAAAATATAAACCAGAAAAATATAAGGCAAGAAAATCTAAGACAGTCAGTGAGCAAGAGACACATCCTCCCGTAACAAATAACTCATCTCGATCTTGGCCTCATTTTAAATACGATTTCCTGCAACCTGGTAAAATAAGAGACATCAAGAGAAAACTACCGAGTGATCCTGATTACGATCCCAGGACACTTCACGTGCCGTCAGATTTCTTGAATAAACAAACTCCAGCCATACAGCAATGGTGGGAAATGAAGAGCCAACATTTTGACACCGTCTTGTTCTTTAAAATGGGCAAGTTCTACGAATTCTACCACATGGATGCTGTGATCGCAGTCAACGAGCTGAACCTCACGTTTATGAAAGGCGAAGTCGCTCACTCAGGCTTCCCTGAGGTAGGATACGGCCGCTACTCTGCGAGCCTCATAGAAAAAGGATACAAAGTGGCTAGGATTGAGCAGACAGAAAATCCCGATATGATGAAGGAGCGTTGCAAAAAAAGTACGGCATCGAAATATAGATTTTTTACGTGTATCATTAGCGATATAATCCTATTTTCGGTTTTCAGTGGGCAAATCAACGAAATCTGACAAAGTAGTTAAAAGAGAGATTTGCCAGATAAGTACCAAAGGCACGAAGGTGTACACTGCAATGGACATAGAACCAGCTTCATCAAATTCCAGTTATCTACTGTCTCTGGTTGAGAAATCGGAGTTGTGCAGAACTTATTATGGAGTGTGCTTCGTAGACACTACTATAGGAGATTTCTATCTCGGTCAGTTCGAAGACGATCGTTGCACTTCTAGACTGCTAACTTTACTCGCGCATCATCCACCTGTTCATATCGTTTATCAACGCGGGAATTTATCGGAGAAAACGTTGCAACTGTTGAACAGCTCTCTGGCAACCTGTTTCAAAGAACCATTACGCGAGTCTCAGTTTTGGTCGTCCACGACTGCGTTGAAAGTAAGTATACTTACATACGTCGGAGGCTTCAAAACTGCGTTTCATTTATTACAATTTCTTTCGTCTAGAATCTTCATGAAGGGGATTACTTCAAGAAATCAGATAATTTCGAATGGCCCGAAGGTCTGCGGCCATATCTTCACCCAGGTAATCATTTCTACTCTATCTTACAAGTTAGAAATGCAATACATTCGCTAATGATGCACTTTTACTCCTCTTCAGGCGATAGTTTAGGATTAACTCCAGCAGATGATAAAGAACTAGCGGTTCACGCTCTGGGAGGCTGTCTGTTTTTACTTAAAGACTATTTATTGGAACAACAGTTATTAGCGCAGGGACGCTTTAAAACTTATGTTCCTCCTGACTTTTCAGTCATGCCCGCGTCCTCGAAGTCTGGCATCCTTGCAAATAACATGGTAACTGCAAGCTTTATTTAATTGTACATTTATACAGATAATTTGACGCTTAAAATTATTAGGTATTGGATGCAATCACGATTCGCAACTTGAGAATCTTCGGTGACGGTTCTTTGTACAAACTGTTGGATCGTTGTTGCAGCGCGTTCGGAAAGAGGTACGCGTAAAACGAAACTTAATTTCTCATTCGATTTTCACCGATTTTTATGTGATTTCAGATTATTACGTGAATTGGTATGCAGGCCCTCGTGCCGCAAAGAAGTGATAGTCGAACGTCAAGAAGCTATAAAAGAATTGACGGAAAATAGTGATGTAGTGCAAACTGCTCGTAACTTGTTATCTGGAATTCCTGATCTTGAAAGATTGCTCAGCAAGTGAGTCAGAGTTTACATTAAAATTTAACAAGATCATTCATTTTTCTTAGAACGTTATGATTGTAGAATTCACTCCCATGGAAGCGCAGCGAGAATGAAAAATCATCCCGATGGCAGGGCGATCATGTTCGAGGCTAATACGTATTCGAAGAGAAAAATTATGGATCTTATTAAAACTCTGAATGGATTCGAGACTATCTTGGAAGTGATCGATTTGTTCCAAGGTAATTACCCTACTTGGGTCCGACAGTAGTTGTTAATTACAGCTCGCTGGAATTGAAAAGTATATTCGTTTTTCAGGCTTTGATAGCTCGTTAATACGCCGATCTACTAGACTGGAACCAGATGGCGAATTTCCTTCTTTACGAGATACTTTAGACTATTTCAAGGTAATTAATCTTTTATTTAATGCGGTACTAATGGCGCCTGATTCGATCTTATATATTCCAGACCGCGTTTGATCACGAGGAAGCCAAGAAGCTAGGCTCTATTCAGCCAAAAGAAGGAGTCGACGATGATTATGATTCTGCGATGTCGGAACTCGAGCAAATAAAATTAGACGCGGAAGAGTACCTGCAAAAGCAGAGAAAACACTTCGGCGTGAAAGTTACGTATCACGGATCAGAGAAAAAGCGTTATCAGCTGGAGATTCCGGAATCAGCAGTAAAGAAAATCGGTTCCGGTTACGAGCTCCAATCGCAAAGGAAAGGATTCAAGCGCTATTACACCGCCGAAACTAAAGTACTCATTTTTCTCGATAACATATTAAATTAATCGAAAAAGGATGGAAATCATTTGAATTAAATGTCAACAGGAACTGTTGAGGAGACAAATGAAAGCAGAAGAACATAAGAACAATATATTGAAGGATCTGAACAGAAGAGTCTTCGCGCAATTCAGCGAGAAGCACGACATGTGGAGCGTGGCTGTACAAAAAATATCTATCTTAGATGTTCTGATCTCCCTCTCGTTATATGCTTGCAGCGACGACATGTGCATACCAGAAATCAACGACGGCTCCGAGAAGGTATATATTCCAAACTAGCACGATTCATCAACGAATTTGAACGTACAATTTATTTTGCAGATATTCACTGACATCAGAGATGGACGGCATCCGTGTATCCCCGTTGATAATTTCATACCGAACGATACTTTGCTGGGAGCAGAAGATTCTCCCTATTTCATGATCTTAACTGGACCGAACATGGGCGGTAAAACAACGTTGATGCGTCAAGTGGCAATTATTACTATAATAGCACAAATTGTACGACGATGTTCTTCTAAAGCATTGCATTTCGAACTGCAGATCAGAATTTGAGCTTGTCATTTTACAGGGAAGCTTCGTTCCTGCTAGTTCCTGTCGTTTAACATTGGTAGATCGTATTTTCACGAGGTTGGGAGCGTGCGACAATATTATAGCTGGCCAGAGTACTTTCTTGGTGGAACTAAAAGAAACTGCTGCGATACTGCAACACGCTACGCCGTATTCACTTGTCCTATTGGACGAATTGGGTAAATTACTTATATTATCATAATATCTTAATGCTACGAATGAACGGATTAATAAAAATGGTTTGGTATCTGTAGGACGCGGCACAGCGACATTCGACGGTACGGCGATAGCCGCTTCCGTTGTGGACTCGCTTTCAAAGTTGAACTGTCGAACTCTGTTCTCCACGCATTATCATTCTTTAGTGAAAGATTACAAAGATAATAAAAAGATCAGATTGGCCCACATGGTACGTGATCTTTTACTATTTTACTTAAACGTGCATTAATCCTGATTTTTATTTCCTATATAGGCGTGTATGGTAGAAAACGAAGAAGTGATGTTGCCTCAGAAGGATGATGATGATGAAAATGATATGTCTCAGGAGACTGTGACATTCTTGTATAAGCTCACCGATGGGGCTTGTCCGAAATCGTATGGTTTCAATGCTGCCCGATTAGCTAAGGTGCCAACAGAAGTTATAATTAGAGCGTACGAGATCTCGAAGGCGTTCGAACGACAAGTACAGGAAAAACACTTGTTCCGCTCTCTGTGTACAGCAATGAACGGAGCAGCCATAAGGGAGATACTCAACACGATGTAAAAATACATGTGAATAAGTTCATACGTGCATAAATGAACTTCAAATCTAATTACAGTTACAGTATTATTTATGTGTTCCATTACATACCTTTTCATGTTACCTGAAGTTATATATTTCGATACTGAATTCAGTATATTTTTTGATAATAAACACTTAAGTACCAACGTTACCTGAGTCGTTTTGTTTTAATCTTGGTTCGAATCAATGGACGGGAAGAATGGTTGTTGCTTATAAAATTTTATTAATTAATGCCAGAGTACAAAAGGGCTACTTATGAGACGAGAATACGATGCGATACAAACAATATACGATTTCACTTTGCTTTTTTTCACACCAAATCAAGTATCATTTCCGTCATTTCGTCTTCTATTCCAAACGTAAATAGAAATCGTGTGCACAAGAATCATACCGTAAAACAATAAATACAATTCCTTACACATTATCGTGAAACACAAGAAGCAGCTAGTGGTGAATGATTATTTAAAGAACGATGAACGATTATCGATTACTTCGTCCGACAGAATTGCGATACGTATGTATCTGGTTTTAAGAGGACACGAATAGAATGATTGATTACATAGGATCGAGTGATCGGTACACGTTCATGTACTCAATAGAGTAAATCGAGCGACTTAAGAAGATATCTGCGGATGTGGTTTGCTGAAATATGCGTTTAGTAACATGAAGATCCTTTTCATTGCGAGAATTTTTAATTAGCTTTCGTCGTACGAGCGAAGAGACTTAATGGGACCAGCAAAACAAGAAACCGTGCTCTCTATTAAAATTACGCGAACGATACTCATGCAGAAGAAAGAACTAGAATACGATTATATTAAATAAAGGCACGAAAATTATAAGAAAGCACTTGACCTTAAATTTGTCTTTTTTTTTGTCGGGTTACATACAGTTTCAATATTAATTATCGTTATTATTTATGTTATTAATACCTTTTTCTCATCTGGATAACATATGCCTACGTCTAATATACAATTCCGAGGTTCGTCGAACGCTGTCTAACTTTAGTAATTATAATTATATTCGCGAGTCGGGCGCGTTCTCTCTCTCTTCTTTCTCCCAGGACGTTCGCGTTTTCATTGAAATTTTTGCTATACCTTAATTGATTACGAAATTTACTCTTCACCATCTCAAGTAGAGACCGATTGATCAACTGTTTCCAGATTCTCGGCCTGGCCGAAATATTTGCCGGATTCTATTCTCATTCCTACATGAAAAAAAAAGTTCCACTCGCGAAAAACAGCAAAAAAAATAATACGATCACTTATATCGGTCTTTTGTTTCTTTCTCTCTCCTCTTGAAAATCCCACACTCCGCTTTTCCTCTCTCCCTCCCCCCTTATACCTCTCTCTTCTATAGAACGAAAATGATTCGAAAAATATACCGTAATGGGTAACACGATTTTAAAATACCACAGAATGACGCGACTTGAAAACGACAACGAAACGAAAAACGAGGAACCAATCATTCTGAAATTCTGGAATAGGGAAAATTTGAACAAGGATCCGGTGTTTCTTTCTTAATTCAGCACTGGAAGGGTTCGACGGCGCCGACCAAGAGGAGGATGCCGACCAGAGGATTGCCCCGGCTACCAGATTTTACCACAATCCGGACGAGAAGCCACCGGGGGGCACGCGTGTGCGTGCCGCCGGGACCTTGGCCGCGGGCGACGTATCAGTCGACGATTTCTCGCTGGAATTCGAGCTCGATATTCCATTCTGCACAGCCGGCCCGTTCTTCTGCGGCGTCTCTGCGTAGCCAGTTCCAGTTACCGGATTACCATCTGCGAAAAACAATTTTCATTCTTCAGTCGTTCATCCAAGTGGATAACAGGACCGATCGATCCTAAGACAGTATGATGGAATAAATTGCTAACAGTAAAACGATTGATCGAATGTATGAAAGAATTTTGGGTAATGTTGGAGCCTCACTGAGTAACAAGATAAGGAAATGCTTAAGAGCATTTATGGAAAAATATCTGATAACGTACCCCGGCTGTAGATTTTAATAAGATCTCTAGTGGCATTTAATTACACAGGAGACTATGCCGTGTGGCCGTAAACGTATCTACACACTCGTATCGGAATGATTTCTCCGCACGAACCAGTAGTAGCATGCAATAATTATCGGGAACATGAAAAACAGTCTTTACGGATCACCGTTACCGTTTAATCCAATCGCAAAAAACAGAAGAGAAATCAACTAATCTATAACGGCAACGAACATACATACATACGTAGAACCCAGTCACGTTATTGTATGCCTGATATCTGTAATACTGTTCATATATCGAGAATTTCACATGCTGGTTTCCCCTCGATTTCCCTGTACAATTTCCCGCGGAAAAACGGGGACAGGGAGGACGCGCGGGTATAATTTACTCGGGCAATTAAGAGTAAAAACGTAACTGGTCGGTTTCGATGAAGAGAAACGCTCGGGTATTTGTGAGGACTTACGCTACAAGACAAGGAACACGTCTACGTTGACTACTTACAATGCCAACTTACCGTACTATAATACAGACTATTTTGTGTATGCGTGACCTATAGGAGTGGTAAATACAAACAGAACCAAGCAACTAAATACTAAAATCAAACCTATTATCGTACCAATTCTGTAACTAACACTATAAAATAACATATATACAAGAAAGAAATACATTATAAAAAAATCAGGTGGAGTCCAATCCTGTAAATTATTTCGTTGACTCTGTGTAAGGAAAGGTACAATAAAGAAATAAACATTTTCATGTAGCACCGTTCAAAAATATTGAAGAAACAACTGGCATAAAAGAATTTATCTCATTGTTATGTGTGTTAAACTGCAGAATGAGTCACAATATTTCTGATTCACCCTCGTATGGTCAAATGGTATCAATATTCCTGAAGTAGACAGGAGAGCAATAAAGTATTCATGTAGCCCCTGCCATTACCCGAATCAAAACAAAATCGTGGCATTCTCCTCCGACCACACGTCATATTTCACCCCATCGGATAGGGGTTGACGTTCTATTCCCAGAATCTACACTTCGATCCCATATATCTTCCCTTCTGTCAGAGACTTTCGTTTATCTTTGACAGAAGTCCTTTTATATAAACGATTCATAAAATAGGAAAGTAAATAGAGGGTGAGAGAAATAAATATAATAATTCTTTGATATTGTTAGACTTACATTTCTCAGACTTCCATTTCTTTGACAGAAGAATATTTGTGTAAATATTTTATTAAGTATTATCTATTGAAGACAGTAAACATGAAATAAAGAAATACTATGGTACTTTAATATCGTTGAACGGTGCTAACAGTTTTTCTAGTGAAAGGATGAAAATAAATCGGGTGATGAGACCAAGACGGCTCGTCGTCTTTTCTTCTCACTTTGTTTTTCGGGGTAAAACTGAGAATAAGAATGGGTAAACGTTACCTCGACACCTTCGTGCGCTGCGTCTGACGGGCGTCACGTCGACTCCGTCTCCGGTGACCGGGTTGCGAGTTAAGCAGGACGATCCACCTGGCAGAGGTTTTCGAGCGGGTAGGAAGGCACGGGAGGACGACACGTTTGTTTCGCACGCCGGTGCACGCAAAGCGGACACGAGGCCAGAAATTCACCATCACCACCACCACCACCCCCATGCACCGACACACAGGTAAGTACCAAAACCCACAACACCGTCACCCAACTCGACATAATTCGTGTTAGTGCGCGCGACTGTTTGCACAGACGAATCGAGCGTACTCATATTTGCCCTAACCTCGACTGTTAACTCTTCATCTTTTCCCATAGCCGTTAGGCAAACTTCAAAGTATGCAACGATCAATATGGTTTTAAACTTATTACCTTTAGCTTTGACTGTTAACTCTTCATCGTTTCCCATAGTCAATCAGCAGATTTACATCAAATTGTAGAACGATCGATATTTAAAATTAATTATAAAATTGTGACAAGAGTACCTCGGATTCGTTCGTGCGAAGAGGAACGAGCACGGAAATAAGAAAGAAACTAAACAATATTATATTATACTACGTTTGTGTAAAGCGAGCAAAGCAAGAGATGAGAGTTTCGAAAACAAACGAAAGAAATGTAGTTGTCATAATATTGATAGAGTTTTATGAATAAGATCGTCACACGTGTAAGATGCAAGCAATGAAGTGGTGAAATCATCATCGGGACAATACGAATCAGATGCGTCAGTGGTGAGAAATGACTAAACGTTCTGATCCGGAAAGAAATAAATGTATCACTGTTTCACGGGCTCTGTTTTGCAAATACGTCTTGTAAAAACAAATCTGTTACCGCGTAATGGATTTGTCGCAAGCAGAGAGTTTAACTCGAGAACTTAAGTGGGTGAAATGAGCGCGAGGACTGGTAATTGAAACATAAAGTGTGGGACGTGTGTCGTGTGATCTACTTGAACATGTATCTTTTTTTCCACACTTACGAAATCGTTTGATTCTCCTAAAAGCTGCTTGCGAACAATTCAAGAGGACGACTTGGTAAAAGCTCTGGATTAGTCACACAGAATGAAAGAAAAGAAACGAACAAGATATTCGTTCGTGTTTCGCTAGCTCCAGAATCGTTTCAAACATTTTTCCGAACGGTTCAATCGACCCGACGTGTTAATCCCATAAAGAGCCTGCGATACACAGACGCGTGTTTCCAGGTAGCTCGAATACAGTGCGAGTTCGTTTAGGTATTGCAATTCGAGGAGATTAAGAATTTAATTCAGAGAAACCTGCGGTCTCTGAACGCGTCGGCTTGACTCGAGGGTTCCAACTTCTAAGCCTCGGAAACTCGTGCTCGCACCGTACTCCCAGTTCACCTGACCAGATAGATAGTGAGGTAGGCAGAGTGAGATCCGATTCTCGAGTGAGAGAAGGGTGGAGGCGTGGGAGGCGGGCGTTTGGACGAGAGATCGGAGTAGTTAAAGACACCCTTACCTGTGACATCGTTGGTGTGATTGTTGCCATTGGTGGCCGCGTATCCGTTGAGCACGGCCGTGATCGAGTCCGTGCTGCCGATGCTCTTAGCGGGCGACGTCGCGGCGCCGGACGACACCGATGAGGACGTCGAATCCCCGCTGAGAGATATATTGCTGCGCATGTGATATTTCGCGTTTGGGGTGGTGGGTGGGGCATCGGGAGGGCCAAACAGGCGATTGTATGAATCATTACCGGGCTTGTTACGCGGCGTTTCGTTGCTGCTGTTGCTGTTTGCCGTTTCCCCGAACAGCGTCGAGCCCAACTGCGACTGCTGGTGGTTCTTCACGCGGCGGGGGCTCGTCTCGTCGGGCGCAGCGCCGAAAATGTCGCTGCTTCCGCCACCAGGGGGTTTTAACACCCTGAAACAAATCAAACGAGCGTCCAGCGTTATCTCTCGTTTTTTATCCGCGTGAAAGGTATCTCCGCGCGGAGGGCTGAGGATCGAGACATGACTGGTACACATATCGGTATGAAGACGTCGTCTGAGAAGCTTCTAGACACGCGTTCAATGAAACTTCTTAGTCATGTACGCGGCCAGTCGAGTCAGCCACTTGCGAGGGGAAAAGGGGGTTGGGGGCGGCATTGTTCTCGGGCGACGCGGGAACAAAACAAGGCTGCGGGCCCCCACGAACGGAAGGACTCGATCCAATTTGCTCGATAAATCTACGCTGATTTCTGCGTAACGAGGGTCGCGCGCGACCGTCCGATGGTTGGCACGCGCTACGTCGCGTGCTCCGTAAGGACGGACCGAGAAAGGGAGGATGAAAGAGCGATGGCAAAAAAATAGCGAGAGGGGACCTCGCCAGGACGAGCAATTAAAAGTATGGAAAGCATTCTTTATTCGTACGAGCTACGGGGGAGCATGGTCTTTTTTAAAGGCCCACTGCAATTAGACGGAGAACGGCTCGTGCGTGACTTTTTTTTAGTTTACGTTTTTCAGGGGTGTTTCGAGCACTGTCCCTGGAAACAATTTTTCGTCAATAATTTCGACGAGAACATTTACCAAACAGAAAACGGCAAAATGATTGTTGCATGGCTTGATCAAAAACTCAGTCAGGGGAACTCGAATTTAAAGCTTGTTCTAGGATAAAATGCCCCCCCCCCCTCTCTCTTTCTTTCTCGCAAATAGATTTTCTAATTACGTTCAATCAACATTCCTGCGGAACGCATTACGTCGTTCTGTCGAGCGTGTCGAACGCCTCATCCTATCGGCCGACAAGACGTCGTTAACTCGCGATCGATCGTCTTAAACGTTCCACTCTAATTAACGATGCAACAGCTGCGTCCCCGCGACTCCTGGAATACTCTTTCTGTCGGCGATCTTCGACGCGGGCCAGTATCATAGAGCACGTCTCATCGGCACGCCGGTAAATCAACGTTTCCTCGTTACCGCGTCTCGGGTAGGTAATTGAACGGCCGACGCAGTTTGATGGAAACGTTCGCTCCTCGAACGAGGAAGCTTCAACGAGCGTGCACGCCAGCAGCTATGCTACAAGTGGATCGTTCATGCTCCGTTTCGTCCAAGAGGGGCGCGTAATTTGTCTAATTACCAAACCGGTCTAACTAACCAATCCCTAGACTTCTTTTGATCGAATCGATGCAAGAGTCGACCGAATAATTTCATTGTTCGATAATTAAGAACGACAAACTTCTATTTTCTTTATAAATAATTGTCAATTATGCAGTAGAGACTGTAATTATAATATAAATTCTTTATTTCAGTCTCTTTGGCCCAGAAATAGGCTTGGTTTTGTATTTCTTACTCACTCCCCCTCTTTCACCTCCTCGACCTCCTCCACTCACCTTTGTAATACCTCTTTACCTCTACCCTACATTTCCGATAGTCTTTCAGATAACATCCAATATAATCTAACAGTCTTTCTTACATCCTATCAGTCTTTGCCTGTTTACCTTATCTGTCTAATTGTTATAAACTATCTACGCTTCCTACATCTCTGATAGTTTTTTACTAGAGACCGCAATTATTGTTGTTAGTACCTAGAATTCTGTATTAAATATATTCTCTCTTATTCCAAAACATCTTTCCATTATTTACACCTGCACACTTCGTACGCTCTTTGAACCATGCATATAAAATGCATTTCGAAGAGACGAACTGACTTGATCTAATTAACATTGATGACTAGATTTTTCCTTCAAAAATTTTGATAGAAGTGAAATTCTTTGTTACTGGAAGCCTACACGTTGGACGATGAGAGGGCAAATAACGAGAATAATCAATCGGCCGTAGGATGGAGAGTCGTGGAGAGGGCAGGATGGGTGCGCCGGGAAATATGCTGGATGACATACGATCACGCCTCTGCTTTATTCTTTTCGTCGCGACGCCGTGCCACGTCCCTCCTCGAGGAGACCTCGTCGACTTAATAAGATAGTCGGTCAACCTGTTTTACGTGTTCGTCTTCAATTAACTAGAGGCGCCAACACGTTTTACTATTATCGGAACGTCCCGGTACACACTATTAACCCATTTGCATCGTACCCTACCGGCCACATATGTTATAATTAGAATTAATATTCATACAATAATTGTAATGATTAATACAACGTTCGATAAGATATTTCATGTAATAGTTGATATAGTAATCGATATAATAATTTGTACGGTGTTTGATAAAATTATTGATTACTCTCTGATTTTATTAAAGAATTCTTGATGAAATTATTAATTATTGTCTGACTTGATTAAAAGTANAAATATCGAAATTAGAAGAAGAATACACTATTTTTAATTATAGGAAATGCGTTTTTCTAAGGTACATAAACTTTTGGGATTGACTGTATAGCCAATACATCCTTAACTTGGACCGGTTGTACGCAGAGGATGAAACGACGAAAGAAGATCGGAACGATAGATGATCCCAGATCAGATAGACGACTGATAACAATCGATTTGCATATCGGGATCTGACGATTGTTTGACTTTTTTCGTTCCTTTGACTCGGCCGCGGTATCTCGGTGCACTTCCGGTACCATGTTAGTTCCCCGCTGAGAGAATTTTACCTGAGTTTCCGTGCTTGAACCGTGTGGGTTGGTTGCTGACCCCACGAGTCTCTGAACCCGCTGCGCCGACTACGCCTAATGTTCACGATATTTATTTTGAAGAAAAAAAACACCCGCCCACGAGCGCTGTATTATACGTTTGAAAGTACAGAGTGCGAGTTTCTTCTACGAGTAATTTTCTAGAGGAACGGAAACGAAAGAGAAAAATGTCTCGTCTCCCCTTCTCGCCGTTTCTGCGAAGTCATTCAATTTCTAAGAAGTCGTTCAGCTAGTCTCTTTTTTCCTCGGTCCCATTATAAAACATTTTTCTCTCGGTTTTATGAGAGGCAGGGAAAGGATAACGAAAATAAGGAGTACCCGAAGAAAGCGCGTGAAAACTGGACCAAGGCGCTCTCGATCGCCCGTCGCAGTGACTAAGCTTCGTCAACGGCGAGGACCAGCGAACGAAGAAGAAATCCGATCTGGAAAGTCCTTTTCATTTGCCGTAATGCCACGATTACATGGCTCAAGCTTTTTCACCGTGATTAGAGCAATTTTCTTGAACGCGCTCATTGTGTTTCCGCTCGACGATGGACGATTGATCCTCTCGGATCGTGGGACAAGCTCGAACGGGAGCAACGAGTTTTAGGTGAATTTCTCACGTACGAGTTAATCAGGGGAATCTAGAAAATGGGACGCGAGACTCATCATCTACTCTGAGAGTCGTAAAGCTTGCGACTATGCGTGGGCGAGACTGCTTTGTCCTAGAACTATTTCGTTAATGTGGTAAAGCGACACGAATTACAATGCATACAAAGTAAGTAAGTCGTCGATGTGAATCCACGTTTTACACAAACAATTATTCCCTGATAAAAAGACATTTTTTATTCGATCAGTGGATCCTAAATTTATTTTCTGAAGTTCTATAGTTAAACCAATAGATATAATCGTTTCAGATGATACTTCATAAAAGAATATTGCCGTATCATTTATCTAAACGTTGCGAGTCATGCACCGTTTTTTTTTTAATCTCAAGTTACAATTTAAGAATGAAAGGAAGACCAATCCATCAGCCGTCGAACCTGTCTCCCAATTTCCTTCAGCGATTGGCACGGAATTTAAGCAAGGAAAGGGGAGCTCGGCGCCATCGGCGACGTCACCCAAGGAAATTCGACGTCTCCTTGTCACGATATTATCCGACGCTGTCGCGGAAATCAAGGAGCAAAACCGGGACGAGAGGAGCCAATCGCGATTGATCGATCCTCCGACGATCACGCGACGTTGTTTGTTTAAAAAAAGTCCAGCGAATTCGTCGAGGAATCTGGGTCAGCCCGGGTCTCGAATATCGCGTTATCCTCGTGGGAATGCCGCATTATCCTGGTTCCTGGCGTCCCGATCGAAGAATACCACCCGTACCACGATCCGCGATATTATTATCTCCAGTCGTTACTCTGGCTTTTGCGCTTTCGGCCGAGCTTTCCCCGGCATCATCCCTTATCGCGTTCTACCAGTTCCTACCGTCATTATCTCACGATATCCAAACTTTCACCTTTCAACCTATAACCGCTGTGAGATCGAGCCGAGCTGCTGATTGGAAATTGCGAGATGCAGAACGTAAAATTGAAAGACGCACGATCGCCGAGGAGCTCCGCTCGAATAATACGAATTACGTAACGAATTTGTGGGAAAGATAGTAAAGGAAGAGGCACGGGTGCGACGAGGAGTCACGGTCGACTACTCGGTCTTAGCTGCTGGCAAAACCTGCATGTGAGGTCCGCGGATATCGAGGATGTCGATAAACAAGGAGCGGCATTGTGGCCTGGCAATCTTTATCGCGTTTCGGACAATGGTCATTGTTCGGACGTTTAATTACAGCCGAGCCTGTTGCGACTTACGCTAATACTTCCTCGATTTCGCTAAATATTTGCCACGAGGTGAAACGGCGGGTTCCATGGCTTTTAGAGGCCGATACGGGAGAGATAATTGCCCGGGCCGGTGCAACCGCGATCCGTTCGCCTTTCCATTATCTTCCTCCCCGTGGGAGTTCCCTTGAATATTCAAACAGCCTCTCTCGCCCCCTCGCTGTTACCTATTAGCTCGTTCTTCAGATGAATTGGCCGATTTCACGATTAAATTGCCGCGAGCCTACCCCTACTGCACTGATTAGATTGACAGATAACACGTTCCCGGGCTCGGTGCGAGTTCGTTGTTATGTCTGTGATTCAACAACAGGAAGTTCAAATTTCACTAATTTATACTAAAGCCTCGGAGCCCTTCCTGGGACATTCTTCACCTTTCAACCTTCGGGATTAAATTGCCACGACGCGACTGAGTATCTCGCTGCACTGATTAGATCGAG